GGCAACGGTACGAGCCGGTGGTCACCGGTGCTCTCTCTGTCGTCGCGCGCGCGGAACACCTCGAGAGTCGCGCTCGTTCCACGCACAACACCTGCCGCTCACGATCGCTCGCTCGTACACGCCGTTGTCCGTTCATCCGTGACCGCTTTCGAGAAAGTGTCCGTCGCGAATTACCGTCGTCGCCTGGTCGTCGATCCCCGCGAAGGACATCGATCGATCAGACTTTCGGGGTAAGGAGAGACCGAGCCTAACAGGACCATGGACGGCAAGAACGCGTCGGTCGATCCGACACTAGTTCGCGCGGCAGAATGAGACTGACCGACACGCGAAGAAACAGGAAGTATCCCCGGCATCGGTCAAAGTTGAACGCGGCAACATGCTGCTGCCGCAGGACATGATGGCAGCCCAGTCGAAGATGCTGTATCAGATGAACAAGTACTACGGCGAACGGGTGCAGGCCCGAATGGGCCAGGTACAGAAAACCATTAGGGAGGTGTGCAAGGTGGTGCAGGACGTGCTGAAGGAGGTCGAGGTTCAGGAACCTCGGTTCATCTCGTCGTTGACCGAGTGCAACGGCCGCTACGAGGGCCTCGAGGTGATCTCGCCGGGCGAATTCGAGGTGGTCCTCTACCTGAACCAGATGGGAGTGTTCAACTTCGTCGACGACGGCACCCTGCCGGGCTGCGCCGTGCTGAAGCTCAGCGACGGACGCAAGAGGTCCATGTCGCTTTGGGTCGAATTCATCACCGCCTCCGGTTACCTGTCCGCCAGGAAGATCCGCTCGAGATTTCAGACCCTGGTGGCACAGGCCTGCGACAAGTGCGCCTACAGGGACTCGGTGAAGATGATAGCCGACACCACCGAAGTGAAACTTCGCATCAGAGAGCGATACGTGGTGCAGATCACTCCAGCCTTCAAGTGTTCGGGCGTGTGGCCCAGATCGGCGGCCCATTGGCCAATTCCGCATATACCTTGGCCACATCCTAATCTGGTAGCCGAAGTCAAAACGGAAGGATTCGATTTGTTGTCCAAGGAGAGCGTGGCTCTTCAGGGGAAACAGTCCGCGATGGAAGGCGACGCTTGGGTTCTGTCCTTCACGGAAGCGGAAACGAGATTGCTTCAGGGTGGCTGTCGCAGACGGTGCTTGAGCATATTGAAAACTCTGAGGGACAGACACCTCGATCTTCCCGGAAATCCGGTGACCAGCTACCACATGAAGACGTTGCTGCTCTACGAATGCGAGAAGCATCCCCTGGAGACCGAGTGGGACGAGGGCTGTCTGGCTGACCGTATCAACGGTATCTTTCTGCAGCTGATATCCTGTCTTCAGTGTCGAAGATGTCCACATTATTTCTTACCCAATTTGGATTTGTTCAAAGGGAAATCACCCAGCGGCCTGGAAAACGCGGCGAAACAAGTCTGGAGACTTACTAGAGAATTGTTGACTAACAGTCGCGCTCTAGAGAAGCTTTAGCGGTATTTTTTCGGGGAGAAAGGATTCGGTGACTCGCGGGAATCACGTTTTCAGAATATCGCTTTCTTTACCCGCTTTTTATCCTCGCTTTCCAACTTGGGAAGTCCACTTTTAACTCGTTACTTTTCTCAACACGCGCTTCAACATATGGGGATATGGGGATGGTGTAACGAACCTCGTAAACCATAACTATCTTTTTACCTTTTTTGTCTTTTTTTCCACGGGAATAACAAAAGTCAGACTTTCATCGTTGGTGCAGCGACAGATTCCGGTGCTATTTCGTACTGTCAAAAAACGAAAGTAATTGTTGCTAGGTTTTATTTTAGTCTTATTTCGATCGTTCCAATCAGAACGTTAAATTGAATGAATTTAATAGATTATTTCTCGACGTTCACCGAATCACCAAGAGTGCGCACTTTTGCAAATATTATTACCGTGTTTTTTATACAATCGAAAAGCTTTCGCTTATAGCGGAATCTTGTGCTTACTAACGCAGATTAGACGGTGCTCGCGCACCGAGTTACCTGTAACGAGCGTTAAAATATATGAACGATTAATTAACTACTTCGTTAGCTGCTCTCACCCATTTAATAGCTCGTGTGAATCGTCGTGTGATCCGTTGTCGTTAATTAATCTAATGTTTATAATCGGTTAGCGGCGTGCTACCGGCGGCAGTACCTATACGTATTGTTGTATGTACATACTTTTTTATATTATTTAAACAATATTTATTTTTATTCGAATCATTGTTCGAACATACACACACGATGTAAATAATTAATAAACGCATCTCGTCTCATATTAAATACTCGTTGTTCATGCGATACCCATCATCCCGTCAGTTTCAAAGAATTATTTTATATCGTATACAATCAACGCTTTGTTCGACTCGTTTTAGTACTATACCGTAGTTCACATAAATTCTACTGATACTTAAATCTTAAGTATTCCTTCATGTTTCTAATTTATGAACATTCTTGAAGAAATTTAATTTTCCAATATTTTAGAGAGTATATTTCTAACGTTTTGACTGTATATCATAGAGGATCGTAAATTTTTACCAAGATATTATTGTCCATTAATTATTCTCCATATAACTTTCATCTATTGATCATACGAAATATGGCGAATATATCTGAGTACTATGACAATGGATTTACGTCAGTAGATATAATCAAAGCTTTGCTAAATTCATTTTCATAATATTTACCACATTGGAGAATACTTGCAAAATATTTTTATATATTTAAGTAGAATTCTGCAAATTTTACCAAAAGTTTGGAACTAACTCAACTGCTGTGGTTTCGTATTCTCGTTTCATAAAAGTGTATCAAGATTACTTTCGCAACAGCCTCATTCGCGACAGTTCACACGAAACGTACCCAAACAATTTGCATATCGTAACGGCCGCAAGAAATTTCACGGAAGCGGTAGAATTCGACCCTGGCCGTTTTCTCGTTGAACAAGAACATAAAATCATCTGAGTATAATTATTATCTACGATATTAACACTTGTGCACGCGTTCGAAGGAGATTGAAACGCCTCGTCAGATGCATCGCTACCGAGTTTCATGGCCACTATACGCCTACGGAGCACGGCCGTGTCCCTTATCTTAATTCTCCCTTGAAATTTCCTCCCTTATCTTTCCACCGCAATGACATTCATTAGCCGATGCCACTCAGTTCCTACACGGTACCGCGTGGCCCGTGCGATCGTTCGAGAATTTACGTTATTATTATTGCCCCGTAAAACAAAGTGAGAGGAAAACGTTTCCTTGCCGAACGCGAGCCACACTTTACGTCCGCAGTATCGCGCACTTTCTTCGCGATTTACAAGCCCTAATGGGTAGAGTTATCGCGGCCGTCATTAAGGCCGCATTTTTTATACCTTTTTCTCCGCGTCTCAATAAAACGGCCATAAACAAAACACTCCTCTGGGCACGGGTCCTCCGATAATCAAGAATTTTATCCTCGTCATATCGAGCCCCGAATTTCTTACTTTAACAAGCGTTCGACGAAAGAGTGCAAGAATTCGGTATCTCCAATATTTTTACGGATCCAAGACCGTTTAACGTCGCGTTGGTAAACGTTAACGAACAAGCCCAGCGAACAGGACCGAGAAAAAGTAGCTTTAAATCGAAGGATCAGCGAGTTTGGAGGTAGCCAAGCGTGATCCAACGGGGATCACGAGGGCTCCACCATGACGAAAATTTCGGGGCTTATTCGAAGGGGTTGCGGAGGAATGGCCGAGCCCCGTGTGCCCGTGGACAGGAAATAAAACGAGTCGAATCTGCATAATTCATGGGGTAAGAGGGGTTCGCGTTTGGGGTTAGCCGCCGTACTGCGTTCGTCCTTCGATGTTCCCAACGTATAGGTAGAAGAGGTGGCGCGGATCGATCCAGTCGGGTTTGCCGCGGTTGGCCACGCCCGTGCGGCTCGCCAGCCAGCCGATT